TTTGCTTCGAACAGCAAAGGTCATCATTCCAGGGGGAAGCTTGTGACAGTGAATGGCTGTTGAACCACTGGTAACGGTTGTGGGGTTTTTGGCTTTGTAGTGGGGTTACTTTTTTTTTTTTTTTAATTATTATTATTTTCTTCCTGTTCTAGGGTTTTGGGTCCTTCTAGAGTTAGTATGTGAAGTGCCTGTCATTTTATCCCAGAATAATTTGAATGTCATTTCTACTGTATGTAGTATTGCGTACGTGATTTAAGAAGTATCGAGGCAAGCACAATAGAATTGCATGTTAAATGTCACATATATTTCCTCATAAGTGTTACAAAGTTTTGCAAAAAGCTTTGTTGTAACAATACTGTATTTCTTACTGTAGTTCTGTATTAAAAAAAAAAAAAAGAAAAAAAAGAGGGGGACAAAACCCCTGAACAACAGGGAAAAAAATAATGCTCAACAAAGCAAAACCAATGTAGAACCTGCTAGGATCTTGCCCTTCTCCACCTTGGTGTTTCATTTCTAGACAGCTGTTGATTTGTGTAATGGAGTAATTAGTGGTGTTTCAGTAGATTTTTTGAAAGCTGTTCAAGAAGGGAGTGAAGTTCTATGACATGCATCACAAAAAAGAGAAAAATGTCTTTCAGCTGATTCTTTTTTTCTGAAGTTAATAAAATGTTACAGTATTCAATACTTAACACCCACCCCCCCTACACCCCGGCCCTTAAATAGGATTTTGCACTCTACCATGTGTTACTGAATTTAAATGCATTTTAGCGTTTTTCTTCTGCAGTAGATTCGTAAACTAAGTAGTCTGATTGTGCCAGAAACTATGGAGTCAAAAACTGTCTGTGGATGTCTTGTATCCATACACCTTTTATGTTTCTCTCTGTATATTCTAGCAATAGAGCTTCACAGCATGAAAATTATAAAATCAACACAATATAAAAATCTTTGCTGTCTCCTCCAGTAACATTCACTCTACTGGGCAAATAATAACAGTAAAAGTTGTACTTTTGATTTCCTGCTATTTATTACAACTAGTTTATTTCAACTAATCAAGAGGGATAAGTCATTCAAGGAGCTAAAATCCAGAAGACGTAGTACCTCTCCCATGTTACTGTTGATGATTTAGTGTGTTTGTGGGCTGTGTGAAATATAGATGTATTACCCTGACTGACGGGAAGAACGAGCTGCAAGGATTTTCTGATTAGGAAATTCCAACGTAGTATATGAGGGTCTCATTTTTCTTTTGGTGTTTCCTAATTCATCATCATCATCGTAACTACATTTTCACGCCAGTAAAATTGTCCATAAAAGAACCTTCACCAAAAAAAATGTGTTCAGCCTGGACTTCATTTAAAATGCTAGGCCCTTTAAGAAGAAGAAAATTCTGTGCTAACTTGCACAGTTCTACTCTCTTGGTCCTCAGTCCAGTATTTATTTTAAAACTGCTGCTTGTTGGGCAGGTAGGTGCTTCCAGGCAACAGTGATGGTAGAAACTGTTAGATTGTGTAGTGTCCAATTCAGAAGTGATAACTGAAAGCTGCTCTGAATGATGTATCACCCCCCCCCCCATCTTTTGTCATGTATATACTGTAATCTGCTTTGGATTCTGGTTTCTGGCAAAAACACAGGTTTTTGCTCACAGGACTTGCCTCAGAGCAGTGCATGAAAGGTGATTTGAAGTAGACTTGGGCTCGAAGGTGGAAGAGCCAGTTCAGACAAATTTGGAATGGACTTTCTGTTACAGACAGGTGAAGGCAAATGCTGATTTAGCTGCCGTGGTTGCTCAGGCCCGAGTTCTGACACCTTGCAGCTTAGAGATTTTTAATTTTGCCTTTTGTTTTTATAAAGGAATATTGAATGGTTAAAACTGAGGACTGAGTCATACAATCTAGCACCTTGGCTGTATATTTGATGTGTTACTTCAGTAAGGTGTGCCAGTTTATCTCAGATATTTAAGGAAATGTGGAAGGTGATGTCAAAGGTGGCAGGGAATTAGCCCTGGCTCTTTCATAGTATGTCAGATCCTGCCTGCTTGAACAATTTCCTCCTAATTTTTCCTGCAGTTGTTTCTGCCCTTTCAGCCCATGTAAATGGGTGGATGGTAGTTTATATTTGGCCTTTCTTTCAGGCAATAGTTGCCTAACGCTGGCTGTAGGAGCATTATCATTTGCTCTACCATGAGAGCGGAACTAATACCCATAGCTGTGGAAGACTTCTAGGAGAAAATTGCAAGTGGAGTGGAGGCAAAAAATTACTACAAGTAATAGTTTGGGAGAATAGAGGGACTGGAGAAATACAGGATAATATGAAAGAAGCATGAAAAAACTCAAGTCTTCTAGTTTTCCTGCTTCCCTTGTCACCCATGGAACAGAGTGACTGAAACAGCTTAGTTTTATTTTAAAATAGGACAAACTTCTTTTAGGATAGAAAATAGGTGTTTGACAAGAAATGGATGCAAAGATGAAGAGTAAGTTCCTGTCAGATAAGCATTTTGGGTTTATTCCTGGAGATTTAGGACTAGCTTTATAATTCTCCAATGATTGCTTTGCAAGCTTCTTGGAAGGAAACAGAAGCAGTTGGAAGCTAAATCAGACTATTTTGAAAGAGAGAGGGAGCTTGACTTTTGTGCAGAGAAATATGCAAGCCAAATTGAGGAAGTAGAAGGGGAAGATAGAACCGAAAACCAGCATTTCAGGCTACTTAGTGAAAGGGAGTACTGAGAGCTGGAGAGAGAGGTACATGCTGGCAGTACATGGCAGAAATAAGTTGGACTAAACATTTGGAATAAGTAGTTTCTATATGTTTTCTTGTATTACAAAAATGCAAATAAGTTTGGGGTTTTCAGCTGCAGCTAATGTCACATATCAAGCTTTAAAAAAGCCTATGATTTAAGCATTAAATAAATATACATGTTTCTGAAGTAGGTGTTTTCAGCAAACATACAAAGCATAAATGTGGATTTAGGATCCTAACTCTAGCTCTTGAATATCTCCTTTTGTGAGTTTTATTGCCTGCCATACAAGAATGATTCATGAATTCTCTTTCTTTTCATTGTCCTTTGTGAATTATAAAGAAGTTGCTGCTTTGCTGTGGTTCTTAACTTCTGTGTAGTTGATGGAAAATAATTGGAAAAGGCAGATAATTTTCCCAGAACACTGGAGCTGTGTAGGACTCTGAAACTAAGCTTTGCTTACCTGTGAACGGACTGGTCAATGTTTATTATCAAACAGGAAGTAGACATTTTGACACCACCTAATCAGAAGTTACTAGTTACTAGAGCTGTGTGTTTTCAATAGCTACTGCAGAGCTGGCTGTTAAGAGGAGCTAAAGATAAGATCAAAAGTCATCAGTTCAAAGTTCAGAAGAGATCATTACTGCCAAGGACAGAAAGAGCTGAATTTGTTAGCCACTGATTTCTATCAGAAGCACTTCACTTGTACTGGCAAATAATCTTGTATCGCAGTGAAGTAGGTATGGCAAATTGCAGGGTGACAGAGTGCCACATATCCTATCTCTTTTCATATACTAGTTTGGCACAGCTGCTCACTGAAAATATAAAGCTGTTGTAGCATACATCTTTATTAAACAGTATGCTCAGGTTTCTTGTAATTATTGTATTAGGCAGATAATTAAATGAGTTTTGTAAATGTTTAAGTTTTTGAATTAAAGCAAACTATTCAGTACTGAAATAATTTTTTCATTAAAATGATAGTAAACAGGGTTTTTGCATCATTTTGCATAGGTTCCACTTTTGTTCAGTGCATGAGAAGTTTAGAATGAGGGTTTGAACTAGTTAAACCAACTTTGAAGGCCAGTCAGACTTCTTAAGAAGCTATGGAGGAAATCTGAGGGAGTTCCCTTTCCCTTCTCCCCATGTTTCAAACAAAGCTGAAGCTTCTGGTGCCTCTGCTATGTTAACAGTGTGCATGATCCCTCATTTAATTTTTTCCCCTTTTCTGGGTAGGTATTTTTGACTATGTTTGTAGGAGAACAAATAAAGAACTTTTACTCCCTTTCACTTTGGAAAACGTGATTGAATTGAACATGGTTTTAGAAGAAAATACTGTATTATTTCTGTGAAAAGACCTAGGTCTGAATAGCGTTGCTGTCATGTAAATCTTAAGCAATGATACTGAATAATTTGAGATATTACATACAGAAGTTCAACATTTCCCATTATTTTACAGTAGCCTTTCAGAATTGTACTGCATTTTTGTTTTCCTCCTACAAGTGTAAAGCCATAATTAGAGAAAAACCTGGAAAAGTCATAAAGGAAATAGCACAATATATATAATGTTAAGTAGGACAAACATTTTTTATGTGGTGTGAATATTTTTCCTAGTTGAAATAACTGTCTGCATATGGTTCTTGACAGTGATATATAGGTAAAATGCTGCCTTTTCAATTCCAAGTAAATTCTACCTGCTAGAAGGCAAGTTACTTGATTATTTTATTTTTATCATCTTTTAGTGTTGTCTTAGGCCTTTTTGCATATGGTCCTAAACCTGATTAGGGAAAGCAAGTTTTAAAACTACATCTGAAGAATTACGAATGCAAAAGGAAATAGTAATCCTACCAAATTTTCCAAGCAATTCTCCTATAAAACTAAATACAGTTAAGGGAAAACAAGGTGATCTTACTTGGCTTTTCACAGCGGCTTTATATGTGTCTGTTTAAACAAGCAGTGCTGTCATTTCTGCTAAGAATTTCTGAAGAGAATCGTGTCTCAAGATCGACAAACAGCAATAGATAAAATAGCAAGTAATGTGCTCAATGGGGTACAGTTTAAACAGAGAAAATCTAATGGGAAGTAGGTATATTAGTAGCAGATGGATTTACTTCCTGAATCTTGGTCTGAGTGGAAATCCTAGCTTACTTAAAATTTGTCTTTTAGATTCTCAGCCTGATAAGAAAGGTGGATAAAGCAATTTATTTACTTGGTGTCAGTGTTGTTATGATGTTTTATTTAAACTCGCTATTGTTGTTTGATTTTTATCTAGGCTATTTTTATGATTCCTACAAATCCCCCTCCAACTTTCCGGAAGCCAGAGCTCTGGTCTGATGAATTCACAGATTTTGTGAAGAAATGTTTGGTGAAAAATCCTGAACAAAGAGCTACAGCAACACAACTGCTGCAGGTCAGTATTTAAGTTACTGAGGAAATGTAAGTTTTACGGCTTTTTTTTCCTCTAGTCTCAAACCAGAACTATTGTGAAAATTTCTAAGGGCAAATATCATTTAGCTATTATCATGCCTTATTTATTTTGCACTTCATGGGCTATTCTCTGTCAGCTGCTGTATCTCTGACTCCATTTTATTTCTCCTTTGCTGCTTCTAAAAGTTAATTGCACTTTATATAGTTTAGGGCTGGGTCTCGCTATTAAAATTCGATCCTTGCTTTGTGGTTAGAGGCCCTCAACAGATCTCAGGATTTAGGCAAGTGTTAAGTAAAGGAATTGAGCCCAGGTTACCTGTCAGTGTGGACCACCCATGGAGTATATTCAGTCTTCCCTTCTGGTCATGTCAAATTAAGCAGACAGGTTGCTCTGTGTCCTAGGCGGGTCTGATGCAGATAGACAGTGTAACGAGTTTGTTCTTGGGCTGAGTTACACCAAGTGGGAGCTTTTAAGTTTGAGCCACATGGGAGAGGGACCTTTGGAGCCAGGGCAAGGTGTGCCAGGCTTTTGCCTGCTCGCTGACCTGAGCTTCTAGTGTCTGCAGAAATTCAACAGTTGCATCTTTCTGGTACTAAGATAGAAATAAAGCAGAGAAATGTCAAAGAACTACAAAAACCAAACAGGGTGGACTAATCTGTAAAGAAACATTTAGTCTCTGTGAAATGGACGTCATTTTACAGGGGCCACACGTTTTAGTGTGTGGAAGAGGAAATGTTAAAAAAAGGTTTCTCCTTTGGCCCTGAATTTGTGTTATCCACTGCCTTCAGGGCTATCATAATAAGCCCAAAGTAACTAAGGAAAACCAAAGAACAAAGGTGGCAAAGGAGAGAGTGGGGGAATTTCTAAAAAAGTTATAATAGGTTCCATGATGATTAAAACGGAATCTAAAATTTCCTGTGAATAAACTTGCTTTGATAATGAGACAGAAGTGATGAATTTTGCTAGGTTCTTTGCTCCTTTTACCTTCCTGACTCCTAATTCATTGAAGTTTTGGACATTTTAGTGTTCTTTCATGCTTTTCACTGCCATTGGTAAATACTGTTCTTAATTTTCTTTGTTCATCAGTCTACATAAGAATGTGATCTTCTGAAATGTCATCTGTAAGGCACTCATGCGGGATTTGTTTTGTCTCTAGCTAGCAATAGCCTCTTTTAAAATTTAAATGCCAGTGAAGTCATATGTTCTCACAAGGAGAACATAAAAATTTTGCAAAGTAGTTCCCAGCAATAGATCATCAAATTCATAAGTCATGTTATGATGATTTTATTTTCCATACTGTGAAAACACCAGAATGTAGACTGCAAGGAGAGTAAAAATGGAAAGGTAGAGTTTTGTATGACCTGTGAATCAGAACTTGAGACCTTAAAGATTTGAAATTTGTATGGTTAGCTGAATATTGGCAGCTGGATAGAAGAGTTTTGCATTAATCCATGCAAGTAAGGTGAAAACAAACAAATGAACAAGCTTCAGTGTTCCTCTTTCCACAGGCTTACTGGCCAGAAAACCGAATACTATGTCCAGCATAAGTATGTGTTACCTTTTCCCCCAGCTGGAATTTGTAGCATGTGTGATGGAGCTGCGGGTGCTGTGGGTTTGTGTGAGTGGGAATGAAAGTACTGCTTGTGAGGGAAAGATCATGGAGGAAAAAGGAGAGTAACTGAATTAATAGATCAAGGGAGAAGATGGGTAATGGGTGCAGTACACCAGGCTTCATCAGTTCTGTTCTTCATGGAATAGGTTTTTTCATTATTTTAGTAATAGGTTTCAGAGGTGCTTAGAGTTACATTTTACCTAAATTGTGCTTGCATATAGGGGTGCAAAAATCAAACTTTTTCTAATGGTAGCAAAATGAATGTAAATCATAGAATAGGTAGGATTGGAAAGGACCTTAAGATCATCTAGTTCCAATGCCCAATGGCATAAGTGGCGTTGTGCACATGTTGTCTTGGAGGAGGAAGTGATGTTTTAAATGGCCTTGAATTAAAAATTAATTTCCCTGCTGAAAGTAAGGTATTCTTTTGCATATTCCACATTTCAGCATCATAGATCAAGAAGTGTTTTATGACAGGTTTGTTGAAGTAGGCAGCCATAGTTGCTCTGCTTACAGCCACTAATTTATACTGTCAGTTTGTTAAGATTAATTAAACTCTGTAACTGAATATCTGAAGAAGTTTGTTTTTCTATGTCAGACAATCACCACTCTATTTATTTACTACTTATTGCATGTTTCCTTTGGAAAATTATATCATTAACTATAAAACAGTTGTTACGTGATTACATTTCCCAAGGCTTGCTCTTATTAAAAATAGAAGCAGCTAAAAGATACTGTATGTTGTATTAGCATAGATTTTAATTATTGTGTGATGTAAAGTACTATTTATCACTGAAATCTGTGATGTTGACTAATACTTGTAATTACACCTGGAAGTTAAGTGTTGTAATGATGTTGTGTAATTTAATGTTGTGCTTTTTTTCCTCCTAGCATACGTTTATTAAGAATGCCAAGCCAGTTTCAATTTTAAGGGACCTGATCACTGAAGCTATGGAGATAAAGGCAAAGCGACATGAGGAACAGCAGAGAGAACTAGAAGAGGAAGAAGAAAATTCAGTATGCATCTTTTTTTCCTATAACTGTACTTCATAGATAAGTTGCTGGTTTTTCCCTTACTACTTGTACTTCTGTTCAAATATTTTTCTTTCTGGGGTTTCCACCTGATTTTTAGCCTATGGGAGCTGAGTATTCCACTCTTGTTTATGATGAGTAATGCTTCTGTGACTAATGCCCTGTGAGACAGCTTTCAGCACTGTTCCATGAGATATCCTAGGGGAAAAAAATCCCAACAACCAACAAAACCAAACAAACAAAAAACCAAACCCAAACTGTTAAGGTTTCACTTTCACATAAGGGCTCCTAGACAAAATGTTTAATTTTCTTTTTATTTTTAATAATTAAGTCTAATACACAGAATATTTATGACACACAGTAAGTAGTAATAACAGTGTGGTTTGAATCAATTAGTGCCTATAAAGTGAAAATGGTGACAGCATTTCAATCTTCAGATGACACTGTCAGCGTATGTTTGAGGAGAGAAGCAGGTCATGTGATAAACAGGTTGCATTTAGAATCGTTAGGCAATGTTAGGAAGAAGTCAGTGCTCCTGGCATTATTGCTCACCCTACATGATTTATTTTAGGGCAGTCTTGTGCAGTGCAGCAGTATGGGCATCAAAGAAGTGCTTTGCCACACATACAATGAGAACCAAAGTCATTCAGGAATAACGCACAGAGAAGATGGAGACTGGAATGTTGGTAGATATCTTACAGCTTTGAGCAAACAGAAAAGAGCAGTGCAGTAATGCAGTCTGCAGTGTCCAGAATTGTACAATCTTTGTTACGTGTTAGAGAGTTTTAGGTGGTGATCTATATATAGGAATGCTTTTTCAAGTAGGTATCTTTGGAGTGTTTTGTATTCCAAAAGACAGCATGGTCTTCTGTTCGCTGGATGTTTTTCTGAGTCTGATCTTAGAGTGTTGGTAGCTTGTGTTTATAAAGATTATTTACTCTGGATTGTATTTGCTTAGTCAGTAATAAAACAGGCAGGGAATCAAGGAATGTTGGGGGGTTTGGTGGTGTTTTTTTGTTTTGTTTTTTTTTTTAATAAGGAAGTGTTGCCTATGTGTGGACATGTGTGACTTGACATGCAGAGTTGTTTGTGACTTGATTTATTGGATAGTTGAGCTCTGAAGAGGCTGATTTATTAGCAACATAAAAACTTAATGTCTTTACTAGAATGCTTTCCTTCCTACGATTGCCTTCTGAACTGTAGACCTCAAACACTTGGGCATTGTTGATGTCTTTTGTGTGAAAAGATGCCAGAATTAGGTATAACATCTCATTACTTAATTTGAAGTTCAGATGGGGAATCAGGTTCATGCCAGTTCAGTATACGGTATATACCTTACCTCTCTCACTACTGGATGGAAGCGTACAACACAGGTTCGGTTCACCTCAACTGAAGAAGCATTTAGCAACTGCTCATGCTTTTTGCATGGGTACAAAAGTCAGAATGTAACACTGCATTCCCTGACCTGCCCTCCTCTTATTCAGTGTTTCGTGTAAGGGAACCTTAAATCCAGGATTTGGGCAGGAATCTCTTATTTGTGTTACTATTGCAGTAGATAGGAGTTTTTGCCATGTACTTCTGTGGTGGAGCCAGGAGACAGTTCATGAGTTAAAAAGGCAGTGACTAGTCAGCTCAGAAAAGGAAGGTAGTAGAAAAATAAAATGAGTATGACTTCAGCGTAAAGAAAGATAGAAGGGGAGAAGTTGGAAAATGAACCCTTGTAGTGGTATTACCTCAAGTGGAGGGATTAGTAGATGAGACTTGAAGATGACAAATAGGCAAGAATGAAAAAGTCTGGATAAAACCTTTAGCAACATGGGTATTTTGAAAAGAGGAGTATGTTTCTTAGGACAAGCCCTTTGTACTGCTGTACTTGTGAAAAAACTTCAGAATTATTTAAACCCTTCCCTCCCCCCAACATTGACCAGGTACGTTATGTTGTATAGTGTCCTTGGAGTGAGTTAGTGAAGTTCATCTAGAAACAGTTTTATCCTTAGTAATTTGATGTCTTGTACTCCTTTTTAGTTTTCTATCCTGATGCTGACTTAAAGGCTTTAACTGACTAACTGAAATGAATAAATAATACCAAATGAAGTTTGCAGGGGACCTTAAGAGAGATGGATCCTGGATATTGAGTGCATGATATATTGCATTTGTATGTAATTATATAAGCCCTTGCAGTTGCATTTTTGAGCTAAGTAGTTTGCTTCCTCAGCAAGATAAGCTGGCTGCCTCTTTGGGTCTGTTTTAATGCAAAGTAAACTTTGTGAAGGATGGGCTTAAAGTGACACTGAAGGTCGACTGAATACAAAGTGTGAAAGAGATTAATGCAAACTATCCCTTAATGTTTTAGAGCATAAGATGACAAGTTTAAGAGTTCAAGTGAGTGGTTACTGCATATTGCTGAAGAGTGGAACAGCTTTAACTGTACATTCTAACTCTGCCTAACAGGTTATTGTAACTTTTTTCATTGAAAACACAGAAAAGGTTAATCCTTACAATCTTAAGTCTGCTTGGTTTGCTGTGAGAGACGTCCAGTAGTAGACTAGGCTACACAAATAGTCTGTAGTCAAATTCAGTGTGGCCTAAGGTAAGTCAGGCTGGTTTATATTTGCTACAGACTTAGTGTGCTTTTGAAGCGACAGTAATTCAGAGGATGAGTTGGCAAGACTCATTGAAAAGTTTACTGATTGAAAGTTTACCTATAGTTTTCCAGCAAAGGCCAGCTTTGCTCATGATAGAGGAAATGGATATTTTAAAAATACTTTGTGTCATTATTGTAAACTTCAGTAGGGAGAAGGCATAGATCTCTTTGAGCTCGGGGGAAGTTCCAAATATAGAGGAAGACCACAGGCAAAAATAAGAAGATACGCTACTCGTAAGTGGAACAAATAAAAGAGAAGTACTAGCTGCTGCTGCTGGCGAAGTGGGAAGTGGTGCTTGTCAGTGTGATAATTGAAGATTTTTTTATATTGATCAGGTATAAATAAGTTTGTTCCTGGAGAGGTTTTGTGCCTTTTCCCCCGCTTTAGCTCCATGAGCATTATTGGAAACTATAAGCCACCATGTATTTACTGCTGCAAAAATAACTTGCAATAATGGACAAGGGGATGTCCAAGTATTTTTACTGTAAGGTTTATATTGAATAGCCAAACTTCTGGAAGAGTTTGCCATTATAAAAAGGTTAAGTAAAAAGGGATTTCAGTTCCTATTTTTGAGAAGATTTTTGCTTATATTCTTTTATGCTGTTGAGATGTTTTAATTCCCTCAGTTTTCATGTGCTTTTATAGTTCTAAAAAGTAACTTGCGATAAGGTTTATAATTTGTCTAAACTGTGTTTGGTAGTGACCTGTGAATAGCTTTTGTGCTGTCACAATACAGAACTAATCTTGTTCTTAGTTGGTTTTAGTAACTGTTTGGTTGTCATGCAGACTTCCTATGTCATGCAACTGAGTCTTAATGTAGTTAATCATTGTAAGAAATTCCAAATTCATTTGAGAGATGCCACCAGCATCTTGTCCAGTTGTGGTCACTAAAGGTTCTGATTGGTTAAAAGCACAAAACCAGCCAAACTAGGAAACAGCAAACATCAGATAAACTTTTTGTACTGTGTCCTGAAAGCGTCTTAGTCGAGTATGGCAATATGTAGGTGTGATTGAGGCCTGAATTAAGTGAAATTACGGACAGCACAGACTTTAGTTTTCGGAGTGTACTTAGGTAGAGATTGATCAATGGACCCAAAAGTTACTAAAGAAAACCAGGGTAAAAACCAGAATAATAAAATGAAAACAAACAGTAAATCCCCCCAAAGCCCCCACTTCAAATTGAAATAATGCTTATTTTCAAAATAAGCACCAATATTATGGTTTTCCCTTCGTTTGGAACTTGTTTGGGTAGCTGCCAGAAAAACAATAAACCAATTCTTTTATACTTCTGAGTATTTATTCATTCCCTTCTGGAAAGGGAAAACAGGTAATATGAGTGCCAGTCTGGTATACTGTTGGGGATGAAGTCAGCAGTCCAGCATTCAAGTGTAAAGATAAATAACCATTACACATTCCTACTTCTTATGTCCCAGTTTTCACAGAATCCTGAAGAAATACAGGGCTGCTTGTGTGTAGTTTGCATGACTACATGAACATAAAGTTCACATACAAGTTTTGATAAGCCAACATACAATGATGGCAGAAATTCTAGAAAGAAATGATGACAGTCCCTATGTTACCTTGCATAGTAGTGCTGACAGTCATGCCTGTATTCATATTTTAATATCTGTAGATGTTCTCAGATTGCATATGGAATTGGAGTCACTATGCAGTTAGAAAGTAATAGCCCCCTAGCACGTAAATTTTGGAAAACAGCACTTTAAAAGTTGATTTTTCCCAATGGTCTCACTGTGAAGTCCTTACCATAGAAGTGCAAAGGCAGAATCATACTCAAACCTGGAGAAACGCATATTCGATCATACCTAAAAGCAAGAGCAAATACTGATGTCAGTGTTAAGTAGAGTCTATCAATATTAAAGGTCTCTCATGGGCAGTGAATTGAGTCTATATACTGTTGAAAAAGAATGGTTTCAGTTAACCTGTCGGTGGCTTGAATTTATTGATCTAAACCCACAAGAATGTCCTGTGTGAAGTGTGAGCATTTGTGCACATTACACACTTATAAATGTTTTAGGACCCATCAAGAAGAAGGGTGTAAATTGTTCTACGATGTTACTTTTGTTAGGAAACCAGATTTAGTCCTAGCAGTTATATTTTAATAAAGTTTTTATACCTTTAATTCCCTCTTAAAGCCATATATATATGTGCATTGTAATGGGCACTGGGTTACAAGTGACTTACTTAACTGAAAATAGAATGGGGAGGATTGGATGAGTTTGGAGGATTCATCACATGTAAAGATTTCGTTTATGTACTTAATTTCCAGGATTGATTCAGGCTGCTTTCCTTCAAATCAGGAAGAGTCACATCCCTAAAACTAATTCTTATTTTTCATTTTTACCACTGTGTGAACATTTTATAGCATGGGAAGTTGTCAATTGTAATGTAAATATTTTTCACGATCTAAAACTTTTTATTATGCAGCTGTAAACTGATGGCCAGGTTGAATACTATCTTCATGTCTTGTGTCCTTCCAGAGAGATACAATAATGTTACGAGTAGTGCGGTCTGAATTGATTTTTATGCCTGTTACGAGAGCTGCTCATGTGATGAGAATGCCTTCTGACAAACTGGTGTGTTTTGATAGGTGCAGAGGTAATTGTACGGATTTTTTTAATTAAGCAAAAATTGCAAGTGGTGTATTCTACAGAAGGTTAATCCTGATATCAAAGTTTAAATGTTAGTTTAGGCATTACTAAACATGACCAATCTCCTCTCTTGTATGTTTTTTGACGTGTGATGTGAACTGGATGCTGAGGTTGGGCAGCTGTATTACGGGGAATGTAAAGTAACTCGTTGCCTGGCAGCTCACAGGAAACATGTCTAAATATTTATTTCTGTGGATCTTTAAAGGAATGAGCTAACAAGCAGCTCTTCTTGTATGTTTCCTTTTACATTTTAATGTCTCTGTTATGTGAGAAATGTTTAATTATTTTAGAATATGCAAACAAGGAATTGCTACTTCAGTACTTCGTTTTTATTTTTCATAAACACTTGGTGGTTGACAACTATGAACAACTTAGCTGTCAATAATCAATTATTCCCCTATGTAGGCTTAGTTATTCATTCATACAGAAGTTTATTTGTTTAACTGTATATTAATTATGAGAAGTTGGCATCTGTCTTTTGAGACTTTAAGTAATGATTGCTATAATTATTCCTTTATTTTATAGCAATCCTTAATTATTGCTGTAATAAATTCCTTTATATTTTCACAATATTTATATAGTTATTTTAAAGGAACTGGTGAATCATTTGATGATTAATTTTGAATTTTAAATCTGGTACACCAGGCTGTATTTTTCTGGAGGTTTTTATATTTACTTACGAACACATGAAAGATGCATGAGTGTATATGATATATCTATGTATCTGTCTCTATAAATGTAACTTTGCATGATAATCAGTGTTAAAACTTTCTGTTTTCATAGCATTTTTCCTTTAAGCCGTAGAACACTTGACGTGCTGATTAAGTTTGATTGCAGTCCTTTAAGTGTGTTGAAGTTAGAAATATGTGATGAACACTTTGTCAAGTAAAATATAGCTACCCAAGGGGCATAAACCGCTTTTTAAGACCATATTGCTGAAATCCACTGCAACTTAGAGCCAGAAACTGATTATAGGAACAGTAAACATAGGGAAGTAATTGTGTGCAGCAAGTCGTTGTTACTGGGTATCCATTAGGAGGAGGTAGAAAACAAGCTTAAACGCTGTTTTGTGACATTATGTCTACTGAATTAGATGGGATTTGACTCTGTGCTGAAAGTTAAGTCTTGACCTGTTCTGCTGATGGGTCTAAGCTTAAAAGTGTGCTCAGTATTAAGCATATGTTTGGACTGTAGCTGAGCTTTGCGCATGTTAGGAACTTTCACAAAGTCCTTGTTCTTGACCAAGCTGTATTATGTATGCATGTAGCCACTACAGTGCTTTTACAGAAAGATAGCTGTGACTACAGCCACGGTTTTCAAAGGTGATGATGAAGTGTTAATAGTAAATGGAATTATTTTACAGGATACTACCTTTTGCCAGCATGTAAATCTTCCTATAAGGCATTGCAGGCTAGTTAGCCGTCTTTGGTGCCCTCTAGTGTTTTTTTTGCGTGCACAAACCACAGTGAAAAGATTTTAAAGGCAAGCTACTATTACTTGTTTGTTTTGCTTGTTTATTTTTTTTTTCAATCTGTCTTCATCCTTTTTTTTTTTTCTATGAATATTAAAATTGCAACAGAAAAATCCATTAACCATTATCACCTTGACTCATTCGCTTCTATGATGATGTAGACTCAGCTATAATGTGCAAGGCCATGTTTTTTGAGAAAATTCTTAAGTGATGATGATATCTTTTATGGTACAAGCATATTGTAAATGTTGCATGTTCCTTCCACTGAAGTCTTTTCAGTCAACTCTCTGTGGTTGTATTTTCATGCTTTAAGGGTTGGTTTTGTTAATCTTATAGTTTATTTTGGTAAATAAGGAGATCCAAAGAGTTAGTGCCAAAGGGTTGCAGGGTATTGGCAATGTTTTACTTGTATTTGCTTTATGTTATAATGTTGTTCAAAGTTTCTGTAGTTTATTGTCATTTCTGCAGCATTTCAAGAGATATTAAGAGTTCTCGCTCATGTGTTCTTTCTGTTGCTGTTTGGTGGTGTATCAGAAACCGATGTCAAATGACAAGTTTGGTGTTTATTACTTGTACACAAGAGAACAACAGACAGTCTAATTCCAGAGTTAGCTGGTTTTACTCCTCGATTCTTGTTTTCATAAACAGCATGAGAACATGACATTTCAGTTTTAATACCTTATATTTTTTTCCTGCTTAATATTGAGATTTGTGTTTGGTTTTATTTAATCAGTGAGTTCACCTTTTTTTTTAAGGACAGATTAGAAGTTCTACATCCATATCTACGAACTGTAAAACATGAGTCAGAATTTCTACAGTGGAGTCACTTTCATCTCTCATGTAAATATGCACTTACATAACTTGGATCCACTGGATCCAAGTTATAAGGATATTTTTTTTCAGATGCAGAATAGTCTACTGCCGTATTAGCTACATCTTATATTTGTGAGAAACACTGTAATGATAGTTCTGGAAGCAATCTGTCTTAACTCATAAAATTAGTAACTCTGGGGCATGCACAGGCCCCGAAAAAGTTTTATATTGCTCTCTTTCAGTACATCGTTCCTGATCTAGGGAAAATACTGTTGGTCAAAATTGTGGTGTGCTTCTCTTGGGACAGCTATTCTGTGAGTACTGAGGTTGGCTTTTATGAATTTTAGTCTTCTAGGTACTAGAAGATAACTTTTCTCTTTGCTGAGAGACAATAGTAAGCTGAAGGCTTTTGACACTCTTAAGCTGCAAGATGAGATACTATTCATTGGAACAAATTCAGATACTAGATTTGACTGAAGAAATAGAATACCAGGTTTTTGTAATGAAGCAGAAGATAAAAAATAAAAGGACACATAGGACACTTTCATACGTGCTCTTAATATTAGCCATCACATTTTTTCACCAACTTCTAAAATAATACTTCTAAACTTCAAGAAAATGTTCGTTTCTTTTCTGATTTCAGTTTTAGTAAGTTTAGGACCATATGGCTCTGCAAGTGGATGTTAATAATAGTCCAGAAAAGCTGTAAGTCAAATGTAACTGTACCTTAAACTGAGAAATTTGCCTGCCTGTATGTTAGATACGCACGATTGTAATGCTCAGTAAGAGAATAGCAGTGTGTTGTGAGTCAGTTTTGCATTGTATTGCAGTACTGAAAGAAGCACTTAGAAATAACAACTCAATTGTCCTGGCACTTTTAAAATGCAATGCAAAAAGGCGCTTTTGGACTTCACTTTCTGAGTACCATTGTTAGAAAAATAAAAATACAACTTGTAGAAAACACAAGATCGCGGGGAGAGGGGCGCCCGGAGGGGTATTAAAGAAAGTTAGAGTTGCCACCAGGAGGAGCAGTACCGAAATATTTTCATTTATTTACTAACACGGTCTTCTAGTGCTGTAGCTGTAAACGATCTGTATCATTGGCAATATCGTAATTTTTTTAAGGATAGGGTACTAAATATAGTGTTTTAGAATGCAACTAAAAAAAAAAACCCCAGAAGGAATGCAGATGAAGAATTTGAATGTTCTTCAAGTTATAATCTGAAAAATAATGATTCTTTTGACTTTTGAACTTTTAATCACAGATTTAGGTCTGTATCCTGGTTTAAGCATGTTATGCTGTTAGCCAGCAAATTATAATCAAAATTGGATCTATTTTTGTGTCTCTGGGTTGAGACATAATTGAATAATTTTCAGGAGCTGGTGTATCAGTATTACTACTAACTACAACTCACAGGATCTGCTTAGACCAACCATTAGGGAAACCAGCACTCAAGCAGTGTAGCTGACTTGTGCAGTATCTATATACTAGACACAAATTGTTGTGTCAGGGAGGGAAAGGAAAGGAAAGAGTTCAGATTTGTCACAGATTCAACATGCTACTGTATCTCTTCATGATACTGGCTACCCCACTTAGTGGTTAAGTATGTGCTTTACAGATATTTTTCTACATAGTATCACCAAGTTATTTTCCTCACTCTGGTGACTGCTTTTTAAAGAGAACTAAGTATTTGAAGTAAACAAAGTTGGTTTTCTGTTTCTGAGGTGGACTTCCAAAACTATTTTTGAGGATTGTTCAATACTAAATTGAACTTGAGTCTGTTATCTGGATGCTGTGTAATTTAAGGTGCTGGGCGTGATAACTAGTTAAGGGTGATCAGCAAAAAGCCTTAGTGGTAGACCATTGCAGAGCAACCAAATCACTTTCTATAAATTGTGGTACTGATTTTGGAACCCTGGGAGGTATAGTGGATCATGAAAGTCACTGAGATATTAAAAAGCAGATGCTGATGTGAACTGGGTGTGTGGGCCACTGTTTATGTTGTATTCACCCTGCTATACATCTGTGATAAAGGAAAAAACTTTTCTTCCTTTATATGGAATGCTTTTTATTTTGTAGTGTCTTGTTAAGTTTTAAATCTGGAAATCTAGCAGCATAACTAGGTCACATGAAGATATAAAACTAATGAATAAGCATGAAAATGATTGCTTCTTAGCTTTGGTTTGGCTCTTTTTAAATCGTCTGTTGCATTCTGGCACATGTTTCTCTATAGGATGAAGATGAACTGGACTCTCACACCATGGTGAAGACCAATTCAGAGAGTGCTGGTACCATGAGGGCCACAAGTACGATGAGTGAAGGAGCTCAGACAATGATTGAACACAACAGCACCATGTTAGAATCTGACTTAGGGACCATGGTAATAAATAGCGATGATGATGAGGAGGAAGATGGGACCATGAAAAGTATGTTGTTTATTTAATTCCCTTTTTCTTTCAGTAATGTGTTTTCTTACACTTTATGAGAATGCTGCATCTGCCATAGGGTTTTGCCATTATTGAAGCGGGGGGGGGGGGGGGGGGAGGGGGGGGGAAAGGTGAGCCTGTAGTTGTGGTTTGGGTTTTTTTAATGTTCTCAGCAATAAGATCAAATGTACCTTTTTGTTTAGTGGTTAGTTTAAGTAGGATGATTCACCTCATGAAAACACTTAGTATGTGCTTTAATTTGTTTTCATGCTGAAACAGAATACTTGCCTATTAAACTGGGAGGCTTGTGGAGTGTTAGGACAAGTGATCTCAAACTCATCAATTTTGACAAGTTATGGAAAAGATGAGTGATGAAAAGAAAATACTGCAAGCAAATTTGGAATAAAGAATAATACAGTAATTCTTAAGGTGGAAGTGGGGTTTAGTACGGTTTCTGTGCACCCTGTCAATCACTTCAGGCTTAATAAGTAAGTTCTGTATAAACAGTATACCAGATCATACAACACTACCCATGTAGCTTTTTTTTATATGTGCTGGGAAGAAATACCTGTTAGTATGCCAACCAAATCAAAAATGTGTCATTAGGTTTGCACTGCAATCTCTTGCCCGTGTCCTGTTTGTCTGCTGGAGACATTGGTTGTTTTTTTTTTTTTTTTATTTCGAATTTTGAGTTGATTCCAGTAACAATCTGTAGTTAGAAAGGGAATTACCTTCCTACACCTTGGCATTTACTCAGTATAATTCTTAAACCCATTCTTCTTTGTTGTCAAACAAGAATATATAAGCTTTGGGACAGCAGGTTTCCTTAAGACCTGTAACTCCAGTGAAAGAAAGCCAGCAAACTGGAGGTAGCCTGATGGCAAGCTATGGTTTCATACGTCAGCTGTCAGGCAACAGGTTTGGTTCCAGCATTTACTTGCTGAACTTTGTTGTATTTTGCGTTAGAGAGCCATTGATTAAAACTTAAAAATAATTAAAGAATGGGACCTCCACATCTCTCAGCTGAAAAGAAATACAAATCATGTCCACTGCAGCTGGTCCTCCTCTGGTTCTGTGATGCGTGTGATATAGGCTGAAACAGCAGCAACAGCTGCCTAAATAAATGTCACCAGGAAGGGACATGCAGATCCTTGCTTTCCCTTGAGAGGCAGATGCAGATTTTGTGCTTCATTGTGCTTGACAAAAGCACAAGATTTTGGAGTTTGGCTGCTTTTTCCAATATATTTTTATAAGCAAGGTGGGCACTTCCTAGATGTTTGTGTGATTTGATTTGTAATAAATCAGAACAGGTAGCTTAAAAGTGCTCTTTGATACTTCTGAGTAATAACATTGCAAGCAAGAAGCTTGGAGAAATAAACATAGCGAATAGGGAATTCTCCTTCCTAGAGACACAAAATATTTATGACAAACTTTTTTTTTCAATTACTCTTGTATTTAGCTTCATGTTTTGTTTCCTTCTGCCTTTTGTTTTGCTGCTCAAGGACAAAATAAGAAACAATAATAAGTTTTCATTTATAAGTGCCCATGCTTAGAGGCCTCTGGGAGCCATGACAGAAAATAACTAAAACCATATTTTTTTTTCACAAATAGGGAATTGTGCCCAGATAAAATTGGGATTTGGAACAAAACCAGGCCTGTCATCCTACCTCAATCTACAATATACAGCATAGCAATAAAAAACATTTATGTTTTCTTGCTTAGTATGCCTGTGCACACTCCGGGCAGAGGCCATGTGGTATGTACCTGGAAGGAGGGAAGAAAATGCAAAATAAAGAGAGGTGGGAGGACAGAGTTTAATTTTAGGAGGTTTAATGTGGAGTAGAAGAAAGAATGGGATTGATGGAAGTTAGTACTACTTTTGTTCAGCTGCCTGGGATGTACTTATTTACATGTAGAAGCTTTTTCTCAGTTGAGAGACTGGTGTTCAGACCAGCTTCCTTGCATTCCCTTTGTGGCTTTTTGACAAGTCTTAGCGTTAGGGCTTTCTCATACACCAGAGAGTACTTCTGGTTGTTCTTCTTCCTCCTTTTTGTTAACACTCGTAGAATCATGGAATGGTTTGGGTTGGAAAGGACCTTAAGATCATCTAGTTCCAACCCGCTTGCCATGGGCAGGGACACCTCACACTAGAACAGGTTGCTCCAGGCCCTATCCAAGCTGGCCTTGAACACTGGCAGTTGAAGGATGGGGCATAAAGCTCCCCCTGCTTCTGGTTGGGTTTGGTTTTGAGTTTTTTAACTTGTATTTGCTGGCTGCTTTGGGCTGGCAAATAGGTTGCCTTGTGCTTATTGGACTTATTCTGAGTTTCCAACTGTTGCTTCAGACTTCAGTGAAGATAGTTCAAGATTGGTAATGTTAAAAGAGGAAGATAGTGAACTAATTAGGTGGCATTTGACAGATAGAATGTAGAAAAGTGGTCAGGTTTTTGTTTTATAACTTTTTTCCCTGTAGGACATGAAAAGTTTTAGGCTTAGGTTTTAGCTTTAGTCAGCATAATTCTTAAACCCATTCTTCCTTCTTACCAAACAGGAAAACATAATCTTTGGGGCAGCAGGCTTCCTTCCCCTCTCTCCTCCCCCGTAGGTGAACTGTCTCAAGATGTGTCACACCAACGAAGGAAAGCCAGGAGACTGGAGGTAGCCTGATGGCATGCGATAGTTTTACCGTTCAGCTGGTAACAAGTTTAGTTCCAGCATTTACATACTGAACTTTCTTGTGTTACTGTATTATGGGATCCTTGGTTACAGCAGGCTATACACTGTGCTGCGGAACCTACATTTTGAAGGGAGAATTCATGAGTTGTTTGTATTCATTTATTTAGTGATTTCAGTGCTTTCAGTGAAAGAGGTTGTGCCATACTGTAAGTCAGTGTTCTCTGTGATAGGAAGTGAAATCTTGGTTAGCTTTGGAGTGATGCTTCCTTAACCCTTAGCAAGGCTTCACTACCACAGCTGGTTTTTCAACTGAAAAGCAAAACTTATTGATACATGTTTTATAACAACCTGTGACCCAGGTCCTATAGGAGTTCAGCACAGAAGTTTTAATTACATGCTGGTTTCAGTGGTGGTGTAGCCTGGGCATTGATATTTCATGCATGTAGTTTTGTTTAAGCATGTTTACTGTGCCCACATTAAGATGGTTTGCTTGATGCCATGTGCAGGTATACTAGGGCTTTACTCCTATTTATAAAGAAAGAAATGATAGGTGTTCCCAAACCTATTTGAGTCCTTGAGCCCTCTCCTGTGATTGATGATGAAGTTGTTCATTCATACTACTACTAGTGGCATCTTTTGCAAGTGGTTGGGTTTTTTTCTGAAGAACATTGTCATGTTGGCAATTGTGCTTCAAGAGCTGTTGCAAAATGCAAGCTTAACATGGATTTTCTTTGTTTTGATGAAAGCGGAAATAAAATATAACTCAACTGGAATGGACTAATGGGTTTATAATAGTATTGTCATTGAATATTTTTTCCTTTTCTCCAGAAAGTGGAAAAATAGAACAAAAGTTATTAAACCAGTTTTACAAGTCTCATTCTCAGGAAGCAAAGCAATGTTTTGTGCAGGAAACTCTTTTCCCCATTAAAAATTCCTTAAACTTGAGTTCATAGTCCTTCAAAAGTTTTTGAGGGCTTCAGTTGGTTGAAAAACATGTGGATTTTCCATTTAAATGCCAGTTGCAATTATTTTTGATAAGTAAGTGTTATAAAAGAAACAAATGAAAGACTGAGGCCTGAATTTGTGTGAAGACTTGAGTGTGTAAGTCTCTGTGATGTAAAAACTGCAAATTTGCTAGTCACTTTGTTACACAGTTCTCAGTAGTCAAATGTTTCTTAGATACATCTTTTGGTAGACTCCCAGCTGCTCTGCCCTGAGGAACTGGTGATCTAGTTTCTGCTAATGCTTCCTTGTGATTCAGAAAAAAGTAGATTGATAGTCTTAAAATGTTGAAACTGTGGCAACTTCTTTTGTTGAAGAGTAAAGAAAAATGAGAGCAACTGGAAAATCCAAATCCTCCTAGATCGGAACAGTTTATTGCGCAAATGATTTTCAGTGGAAATGTAGAGTGATACTAATTGTGCTGCAGATTTGTTGTGGCAAATACATAGCTTGTGTAAAAGGTAACTGACCGGATAGCTGAGTGAATTAATTGTCCTTAAAGGGGTCTTTATGTATTTTGCTTTTAAATTTCTTCGTTTCTGAAAGGCTATTGACAACTGTTACGCTGTTGTTCATCATAGTTAGAAGTGCTTTCAGACCAAAATGATCTTCTAATAACCTCATATTTTGCAAAATAAAAGTGCAACCTACATCAGTTTACTCTGGCAATGGGGGATAAAAAACAAACCTTGAAACACCTCTGGTCCCATCCTTTTGCAGACAAAATATTTCTGGGTTTGTCTGTCAGTTTTGTATATTTGCAGTGAAGGTAAGCAGCTCTTATTCTTTTAAATGGGTTAACTAACTGTATACTGAACTGGAATAAAAAGTGAGTTTTAAATTCATATTTATCAAAACAAATAGAACAAATCCTGAAAGTGCAAAATAAATGTGCTTTACTCATTTTGGAATAATTTCAGTCCTGTTGATTCACTTTCCTTAATATACATTTGATAGCAAGGAATTTGGAAGGGTTAGTTTGTTTTATGTATGTATGCAATCTGCTATTATGTATATAAGGAAGATATTTATAAATAGCTGTAAAACTTGAGCGTGGCACATGGAAAATCTTTAGTATTTTCTGCTACATGAGAGGAGAGAGACTATCTTACCTGTAATGGGCCAAGATTTTGGTACTGAAGAGTTTTGAACAGAGACACTGGTAATCTTCTTGTTTATAAGTATGTCTCAAGGATGAAACATAAGTACAGCCATCTCAGCAGAAGAAAAAATTGGTTGTGAAAGGCCGACAATGTGGTGTCCTATCTTTTTGGTACAAATACTTTCAGGGGTTTTAGGCAGCAATCAGCAAGTAATAAAAGGTTTCTATTAAGAAAATGCATTGTATTTCTGGTTTTAATTCCACCTCTTTCATACTACTACCTACTCTTGGATCGGTTTTCTAAATGTATGCATTGCTAAAGTCTAGATTTTTTTCATTTTTGCCCTTTAGTGCTTATTTCTGTAGTTATTTGGCATCCCTGCTGTTTACTTCTCATCCTGGACTTGAGAGATCCAGAAAACTTATTCAAGTGATCTTGAGTTCAGGGGGGCAAACTTGGAGATTGTGGAGGAAAGATGTCTGCTATGTGGTCTGTTAAATTCAACCTGGAGTTTAGTTTGCTGAATGTTTTTATGGTTGTGGTTGTCATTAGTTAAAAGATTGTGAGTAGAGATAACTAAGATCTGGGGTTAGAAAAGAGGATTAGAAAAGACTATGGCAACAACTGAGAGAAAAAACAGGTAAAATAAGAAGTGGAGAAGGTGTATATGGAAACATGCCGGACTAAGTGGAGGAATCACTGTGGGGTTGAATAGAAGTGACTGGTGTCAAGTGCATTAAAGCCTAGACCAAGACAGTAGAAGAACACATCAAAATCTTACTAGAACAGAATAACGTAGGAAAAGCAGAAAGACAAGAACAAGTAAATCCACATGCTATAAAAAATGAGAGTACAAAAATAAGCATTAGTGAAAAAAATAGGCCGCTATTAATCATGCAACAAAATTTTTAGACAGAGGGAATGGGAAGAGATGAGGGAAGAGGAGGGGGGGAAAAAACTCCAACCTCTTAATGAATTAATAAAAGCAAATGTAAAGCCAGATGAGAAGATCAGGAAATCCTGGTGATCACGTTAAACACACGCTTTAAAGATATTTCCAGTGATTTACCTTCTCACTTGTTAAAACAAGTAGTTCAAATAAAAATTTCTGGTTTTATTCCCTCCAGCCTAGTTACGTCTCTCATCCTGTTTCACATTTTACTTGTGCAAATGTATTTCATAGTTCTCTATGCAGAATGTGTTACACTGCAAGCAAGTACATTTTTCATGAGTCAATGCTATGCAGAATATAGTGTCTGAGGTAACACTTATGTAGAACTACTAAAGCATTTTTTATGCTTTATTTATTGTTCTATTTAGTAATGAATTTGCTTTGAAATCCCACAAATGAAAACAAATTTCAGTCATTTAGGGTTGTAGAGTTGGTTTTTTGGTTGTTTTTTAATAAAAAGAATATAATTAGTTTCATGAAAAGGGTAATAGAATGGGAATTCACGCTGATCTCAGTCTGCTTCGTGAAGCTTTTGCAGCTGCATAGATGATGACAAAAATCCCCCAGGGCTTCCACACCATGGAGATAGGGTGCTTTGCAGCCATCTGTAGAGTCTGATCCCATAATTTGCTGAGAATCCCCATTGGCAACAAATTTAATTAAGCAGTTTCTAGACACAGTTTGTGTGGTTGTTTTTTGCAAGTTCTTTTTCTAAATAATTTTTCAGTCACACCTTTGGTGAGACTGATGGAACTCTGCTTTCCTACAAGTGCCTGTAGACTAGGCCTTGAAGTTAGGGGCATTCAGCACCCAAAGGGATGCTTAGCACCTTGTGTTATTCTGTCTCTATAACAACAAATAGATATCTCATGAAGTAACTTCTAATAATACTTGTGTGCGCAACTCTGAAATGTCTTGAACATTTCTCCACATTGTATCTTGCTACAAAAATATCATTCTTCGACTATGAGCTTTTATACCAAAGATCCTCAGGGGACAAATGGAGGTTCATGCCACATACAGATGACTGCATTAGTTTCTGTAAAATCCAAGAAAATTAATGAAAGGAGTTTAATTTTTCTAGTGAAGTAGATCTTTAATCTGTAAATAGTTTTAAGGTTTGGTTTGTTTTTTTTTTTTTTTTTCTGCTTTCTTTCAACTAAGGAAATGCTACTTCACCGCAAGTTCAAAGACCATCTTTCATGGACTACTTTGATAAACAAGATTCCAAGAATAAAAGCCCTGAAAACTGTAATCAGAACATGCACGAACCTTACCACATATCCAAAAACGTTTTTCCTGATAACTGGAAAGTCCCTCAAGATGGAGATTTTGATTTCGTAAGTACATTTTTATTGTTTAATTTCTTGCATGCTGTTTATTTTGTACGTGCCAAAAATAGTTAATCCCTTTCTATAACTATGTTAATACAAGTAAGATAAGTAAACTTTCAAGAATAACATCCAATTATCTAATCTAATTCTTCATCCTGGTTGTTGCACTAAATACATTTGCTTACCACAGAACCTTTTTAATAAGGAGTGGTGTGTGACATGAGGAATATACTTCTTTGTAAGTACCTTTTTCAAAGTGTTTGGATTCTTTATAACTGGTGTGTTTAAAATTTGACCCAGTTCTAATAAAAAAAAAAAATTGCTACAGGCATGAAATATTGTTGTCCTGTTTGCTGAGTATCTCAGCAAAATGATAAGTATTTTAAACTGGATTAGAGCCATTTAATCAATCTCCTTGGAGATGGTTAATATCACCTGCTTGTTGGTACTATTCCAATAGTGCATATCTCTCTACATAAAATTTTTCTATCAAACACCAGTCAGTCGAGTTTAGGGTGGGGTTTTTCCCCCTTCCAAAATATGTGTAGTTTATTTCTTTTTGCCTATGTTACAAATTCATAACAGGAAGTTATAGGTTACTCTTAAAGTGAAATAAATTATTACAGTTTAGAGATTTGATGATAACTATACCTGTTTTTCACCTTTGTTTATTTTGTTACATGTTTGAATGAAAGTATTTGGTTTATCTATTGCAGTTTAAGCGTTTTCTTAACTGCAGTGCAGTAGCTAAATATGATCACATGGCACCTTTTTGAAAGCATACTTGGGATTTGGAGAAAAATGTTGTGTTTAATTTTAGGTGACAGCTGTAGGTGTGGGATTTTTTTCCCAGTTTTCACTTACTGCATTTCTACATAAAGCTGACTCTTAAATTTGAGATACTGGAATAAAGCCAGTTAAATAGCACAGTACAAGCTGTTGCTGCTGGAGAGTTTTGACTAAGTCAGATTTTTGTTAGGGTGGGGCTTTTTTAGGCTTTTTTTTTTTTTTTTTTTTTTTAACCATAAAATGCCATAGTCATCACCCTGATAGTTGACTAACAAAATAGTTATTTGCACTATTCATTGGAAAATAACTGGCCATTATTTACGTGGCGTTATTATAGTGGCAATAAAATTGCTCTTAGCACAATTTTAAAATTCATCCTATGTTTTCTGTTACTTTTTAAGAAATGCAGGGGAAAATGATTCTTCTTGTAAATGTTAAGATCCTGATTCTGCAAGTGCTTATTCATGAATAATTTTTACATGGATAATCCCATGGAACTTGTTGAAGGTGCTTGTACATATTAAGCTGCCTTATCAAAATAGGAATTTGTCCTAGAACCAAACTTGAGGAGTTGTGATCTTCAGAAAACTGCCTGATCTCAGTTGTAGGCAACCCTTGCTACTAGTGGTCTTAGTCTAGCAAGTCAGAGATGTAAGAATCCTAGAATCATAGAATGATTTGGGTTGGAAGGAGCCTTTAAAGGTCATCTAGTACAGCTTCCCTGTCATGGGCAAGGGCAGCTTGCACTGGTTTCTCAAAGCCCTGTCTAGCTTGGCCTTGAACAATTCCAGTGATGGGGCATCTGCCACTTGTCTGGGCAACCTGTTTCAGTGCCTCATGGAAGTTACACGATGTGCAGTTTGTCCTTGGGTTCCTAATAAGGCATGTAGTAAGACTTGTTGCTACAATATTATTCTGAAGACCAAATAGGATTTAAAGCAAAGTGAATAGCTATTTGCAATGTACATAGTTGAGAGTGGGGCATGAATATTGATTAAGTGTGAGAAAAGCCAAATACTTCCATGGATAAGCCAGCCTAAGAAAGAATTTAGGAAAACTCTTCAATTATGGATGTACTGCTTCAGAACAGTCCGTTTGAGAATACATTTCTCTGAAGCATCTGGTAGCAGCTGATGTCACATGGGATATTGGTTTTAACAGCCTGCTGGTTTGAACCATAGGCAATTATTATTTATATATTCTAGAAACACTTCTATTTATATTTCAGACAGTGAGTGGCAGTATTGGTAAGTGGCCTGTAAGAGATTTTCTGAAAGGATAAATCAGTGGGCAGCATACATAATATATTGTCTACTGTTCGTGAGATCAACACAATGTTTTCAGTTGGTGACATGAAGTCTTTAAATGATTCATGAAAGGGATAAATAATGGAAACTTTTTGTACTAAATAATTCAATTCTGTTTTGTTTGGGATTAGCCTTAATGGGATGTAAAAAGGGATCCTAAAAGTAAATGCTGACAGTCATAATTTTATTTAAAGAAGGGTTTGATACTCTAGAACTATAATATAAATTATCAAAATCTAACGTAATGCTAGTATGTTCTAGTAGTATTCCAACTTTCTATGAGGAAGAAGAGGTAAGCTCTGTAAGTTGGAGGTTGCCAAACTCTATTGCAGAATGATACCATTACTGTTTCTTAGCAATATCCCCTGTTGGCCATACATAGCATGCCAGTGCCGGCAGCCACAAAGTGCTTTGCTTTTTAGCCAGGACAGACTGAGAGTGCCGTGCTAAGAAGAGATATTCAAGTGTATCAGATGGAAAGACGTTGAAGTTTATAGAGTATGTGCCACAGCATGAACTAGAGAAGCAATAATGCCACTGAAGTCAGAGGAAGCAAACCAAATCCTTTTGAATCCCTGCAACTAACCAGTTTGCTTATTTCTGTATATGAGGTCTACACAACTGGGAGCTAATTCTTGAGGCACAATGGTCTGTTTGCTTTTAGGTCACAGTGATATTTCATCCTTTTGCTATTATATTTTACTGTTTGATATAACAATACCTAGTTATTTTGTTTAAATGGCAAATACATGTAATGCAGATATAGCACTTAGTCTTGCACATTTGCTTATGCTTTTACATAACGTAAATAAATAATACAGGAAACTTTTCTCAGAAGATGGATAAATGAATGTATAAAATAATGCAAATTGAACTTCACACTAGGTCTGTCTTGAAAGTTTTTGTGTGGGCATAGTTTTCTGCCCTGACGTAAATGTTTTAAAACCTCGGTGCCAATGAAAATAGAAATGAAGACTTTTCCAAGAATATAAGATGCTTTGGTCATCAGTCTGAGCTTAAAAAAAAAAAATTAGTTTTTTTTTTTAGCAATGTTTTTTCTTCTGAAAGTACATATTTATGCTTTGTTTTCATTGTTGAAGTACATCTGTTTTGCAATTCAAAAGCTGGTCTTATTTCTTTTTCACTAATGCCATATGGGAATTTGAGATCCATCTCTGACTGTTGGTCTTGCGGGCCTTCAGTTCCATGATCTGTGCTGGTTATGGATGCAGTGTTCCATGAACTGATGAGAAAAAGTTGCCACTGCAGACCTTCAAGTTGTACATTGTATTGAATCAGGTATATTGCAAGGAACTTTTAACTAGACTTAATTCTGGTACTGTAGTCACCTTGAATGTTACATTACTCCAAATTTATCCTGTTACGTAAGCTTCAGAATTAAGGTGCTAGTTTTCATGCATAGGAGTTGTCTCACACTCCACATTTCTTTTTGCCTCTTATTTTTGTTTTGCTGTGACAAGGAATTTGTTGCTTTCTTCCCCTCGCCCCCTCCTATCTTTGCTTACAGTTATTTTACTGTTTTTGTTTTCTCATGATAAATTCTGAAAACCAGAAGTGTGGGTCTTTGATATCAGTGAATCTTAGGGAAATGTATTTCTGAGGAAGGATTTGCAAATGTTTTGGTTAGGGTTGGCTTTTTTTTTTCCACTTCAGCCTTTGAAATGTAAATGTTGAAGCTCTGATTGGATATAAATCTTATTAAAAAACATAATCAAACTAGTGTTTATTCAAACTTCAGCTTTTATATTAAACTTTCAGTATCTCTGTTTCACACTCAAGGATCATTAGGGATTTTAATTTTCAATGAATTCTCAGATTATAGGCAATTCTTTTACACATTGTCATTAGTTTTGAGGGACATGCAGCAGATGGCAAAATTAAAGCAAAGTTTTTAACCCTGATTTTGTCAGTTTTTCTTGAGATTAAATGATATTTTTATTCACAGCAAACCTCGATGCCAATAAGCCTAATCAACAAGATATTACTCATTGTGATTAAAAGCAGCATAATGTCCTTTATTAAGTAAAAATGCAGTAAAGCTATACAGTGGATGGGTATGATATTCATAGAAATGTTAATGATGCATGGTATAAGCAGCTTTTCATGATGAGGCTTAACTGTTTAATAGGCCAACTTTCAGTCTTCACTCACCCTTCAGCAGCTTGGATCAGAGTGCCGAATAAAGGCAAATGATGTGTTTGTTTCAACTATCTAAGTCATCAGGCCTTTTAAGAAGAGTTGGCTTTTTATAGATACTATGCATTCGTATGACTGTGTTGCTGTTACGATAGCTTTGTCCTTCTGTGGGGAATGTTTTCCATGAGACATGTACATGCTTGAGAGAGCTGTGTATTAAATGAGCAGTGTAACTGCATGGTATTGAAGTAGCTTGCTCAAATTTCTATGTCTTTCACTGTTGAAGATTTTGTGATATTTTGTGTACCATTTATCACGTTTTTATGGGCATTATAGAAGATAGTTTTCACCAAAAAAGGTGAACTTTTAATAAGCAAGAAGCACCCAAAATTTTTATCATGTAGAGATAAGCAAATAAATCTTGGCTTTCTAGATTGAGGGACAGTGTGTCCATGTTGTTAAATAACTTGCTGCTTACATTTTTACTATATCATGACATTTTACATCTCATTAAGATATAAAATCATTATGATGTAAGATTGCTTTGCAAATTCTTCTGCCCCTTAGGAATGTGTGATAGTGTGGGACACGATGTTAACAAAGGATTTACAAGAACTGCTGTGAAATGATATGTAATTGATGATAACCTGTGTAATTAACATTACTCAGAATGAGTTGCTGAACTTCATTTGCACTGATTGAATGTATTATTTACTTTTAAATGAGTCATTTACTTTTTGTCATGACATGATA